GTCGCTGTTGTCACGACCGCCAGTCATCAGAGATCGACCCACAAACCACAGACCAGTTCCAGCAGCGGACTAATCATAACAGGTGCTGCCGCTGCATGTGTTAAACCATCACCACCTGCTGTACCGTTCTGCACTCAGCTCTATAAAACCCTCTAAACTGGCTACTCGCCGCTCGCTATTGACTGCTCTCCTAGCGAGCTCCTACCTCGCTCCTTTTCTGGAAACCTCTCTTGTACGACTCAACAAACTCAACAAACTTTCGGCTTTTTGAACTTACCTTTGCTCTTGACCACGAACTCGCCCGTCGATTCGGATTGGACACCTGTGTTGTTTCTGCCTCTACTCTCTCTCTCGTCTGCATAGGATCCTACTACTTCATCACTTGGACTCGTTACAGCTGTCTTTTCCCAACAATACATGTCGAGTAAACCAGGCAAATATGGCATAAAGATCTGGGCAGCTCTACCTGCCCCCGACAAAAGAACAGACAACAGGAAGAGGCGCCAGCTCTGTGCCCCAAGGGATGTAAAAACCAGCATCGTACACCACAACTATAGGCACACGTCAACATTACCACCCGCTGCACTCATGTGTGTGAGCACACACACACAAACACACACAAATGGGACAGTTCATTTTATCTTATAACCTGGTTGAATTTGTGATGTTTGCAAAATAAAGGGTCATTTGAACACATTTTTTTACACTCTTTGTAGATAAAATCATATGGTCAGTTTTGACTGGAAACAGATATAACAGATATAATTATGTGGCACCTTGCAAAATTTGAAATCTTGGCCAAACATTGACACATACGAGTCTTTGATAATCACTCAACATGTTTTCCTCTGGTCTTTACTGTAGTCAAAATAACACATAGACTGTGCTTATTTTACTCAAAAACGAGTAGCATAACTTCAGGTAAATGATGTCTTTATACCATAAGTTCCAAAAAGAAGTGCAGAACTTGTGATAATGACTAGGAATGATGTTGGTCAACTTAATATATGTTTTATAATTACTTTATAAACAATAATATTGGACACCCATTTTTGGGTGTGAACATCACCAATAGAAAGCTGTCTTTTACATGGGCTGAGAGTTAATGTTCCTGGGGATAGAAGGGGTGTTAGGGTGGTAGGGAAGCACCAATGACATGCACTTGTGAGGCCAGGAGATCCTAATCGAGTTAATGATACTTTAACGCTCTGTAACTCTAACGCTGTGACTATTGTAACGCTCCGCTCGCTGGGGTATCTAAACCAACAATGAACAAACTACAGTATGTCCAGAATTTGGCAGCCAGAGTCCTCATCAGGTCTAGTGCAAGTGATCACATTACTCCTGTCTGGGAGTCCCTGCACTGGCTTCCTATCAGGTTTCAGGTCGACTTCAAAGTCCTCATGCTCCCCTAAAAGTCTCTGCATGGCTTGACACCTC